GCATCCACCTCAGTGTCCAAGTTTTCCAAAGCCGCACACCTATTTGAGATATCAACACGATACTGCTCTTTACCCTCTACCTTATTTAATTTCTTGAGATTGAACCTCTCCATATGAACTCTGTGTGTTGTTTGTTTGCTTATGGCCAGTCGTTCCCTAACCTTTGCCACCACCAGGTAGTGGTCAGTATCACAATCTGCTGCCCTGAATGATCAGACATCAAGTATACTTGAGTGCCATTTCCCATCTATCAAAATATGGTCTATTTGATTGTGTATCTTCCCATCAGGAGATGTCCAAGTAAATTTATGGATGTTACGAAGTGGGAACATTGTACTTTTGACAGTAAGATTTTTTGATGTGGCAAAGTTTACTACTCTAACTCCATTATTGTTACTAATTTCATGCAAACTCTCATTCCCAATTTTTTATTTAAAATATCTTCCCGCCCTACTTTGGCTTGGAAATCTCCTAACAAAATTTTCATAGCGTACTTTGGGAATTTATCAAATACATGTTCTAGTTCTTTATAGAACCTGTCCATTATGTCATCAATTTTATCTCCTGTTGGGGCATGAACATTCATAACGATGATGTCACACCAGCGACCTTTTAGTATTATATATGATATCCTATCACTAACGAACTCTACCCTCTTAACTGCCGATACGATTCTCTTATGTACGAAAAATCCTGTACCTAATTCATGATTTTCATTCCCCTTTCCATAGAAAAATGTATAGTCTCCTGCTGGTTCAATGCCATCTCCATCCCATCTGACCTCCTGTACTCCCGCTAAATCTAACTTATATTTTAAGATTTCTTCTGCCACTGCCCTGAGCGAACCTGCCCTATACAAACTTCGTACATTCCAAGTGTCAAATCTCATATCCATTTTCATTAGCTTAGGTTGTTTATCCAAGGAATCCGTCCATGTCCGAGGCTTTGCGCTCATTTTCGTAACATACTTATTTTTTTTTTTGCGGCGAGGAGTTGTTAGCCCCATACCCAACCCTAAAGCTTGAGGGCCATTCCTTGTCGGCTGTCCACGACTGCTTATTTAGTATATTCGCAGCTTCCCTCCAAGACTGCAGGGTGTCTCCTCCATCCGCAACCTGAGGACGCGCCTTGCCGTGCTGACAAGGGGCCCACCTAACATGGACTATTTCGCCTTAACCATCAGATATTCATTTTACTGAAAACAAACACGCATCGAAATACAAGGAACCCCCAAGAAAAAAGAAGCAGAACAAGATGTTCTTGGAAGAATTATACGCTTACATTCCTTTCATACGACACGGACCACACAGAAAACGACGATTCCAATTGTTGGAGGCGATAATAGTTAAGCCCCTCCTCTTGTCGAAGAGGAAGCCATATATCGAAACACGTAAACGTCTTGGAAAGAACAACAATATGATTATGGGTCCCAACGGGACTCGAAACCAAGACTGACCGTGCTGGCGAGGACCAGCAGCAATTTACCCAACCGACCGACAACACAACAACATGATCTCTTAAGCCTATTTTATTTTTTTTTTCCAAAATAAAGAAAGTAGTCTGAAATCGCAGAAAATAATTTCAAAAGCAAGGGAAAAAAAAATCAGCTCCGTGTTCGACGACACTAAAACCTCCATTCAGTCGTGGAGATTTATAACACATTGATTTTATGTAAGATTTGAGGTTTTCACTGCGGTGACTATGAAGAAAGCAGTTTTCTGGGATGTGGGGCCGTGTATATATTGTATTAACCGACGTTTCGGAGGAACATATGCCTCCATCTTCAGGGTAGAAGCCCCTCTCCCTTCTCTTCCTGC